ATCTCAGGGTTGTGAGTTCGAGCCCCATGGTGTGGGTAGAGATTACTAAAAAGAATTTTTAAACTTAAAAATATCTTTATTAGTAGCATAAACACGATAGTATTCACTGTGTTTGCTGAACAAAGGATTCATATGGTATTTCCAAGGATGAAAATGCCAGAGGCTAAGAGTAAGTGCTCTTTTGCTGGACTAAGCTGTTTGGGCTGCCCACTGGCCTGAGCATCCCCCAGGTCTGCAGCCTTGCCTCTCCCCTCTGTCCAGATTTGGAGTGTCCCAGCTGCCTTCTGCCAAGTGTGGGCTTGACCCCATTTTGTTTTAAAATCAAAGCTTAGCATGGCTTTTTTAAGGAAAGGCAGAGAAGCCTGGAATGAGGAAGCTATCTATCTGCCTCCTTCATGGATGGAGCAGGGGAGCCTCTCCACACCTGCTGGTGGGCGGGAAAATTCATTCATTTGTGCCAGACACACTTACTGAGTTCCCACTGTGTGCAGTGCTGCAAGAGAAGAAAAAGAAAAGAAAAGAGAAAAGAAAAAAAGAAGAAAAGAGAAGAGAAGAAAAAAAAGAAAAGAAAAGAAAAGAAAAGAAAAGAAAAGAAAGAAAAGAAAAGGGATCCTTGGGTGGCACAGCGGTTTGGCGCCTGCCTTTGGCCCAGGGTGCGATCCTGGAGACCCGGGATCGAATCCCACGTCGGGCTCCCGGTGCGTGGAGCCTGCTTCTCCCTCTGCCTGTGTCTCTGCCTCTCTCTCTAGCTCTCTCTCTGTGTGACTATCGTAAATAAAAAAAAAAAAAAAAGAAAAGAAAAAAGAAAAAAAAGAAAAGAAAAAAGAAAAGAAAGAAAACAGGTTCCATGCCTTCTGAGATTTTAAAGGTTCCTAGAAGAAATAAGACAACTATTCATATAAATAGAAAACAAGGTGGTACATAACTAAAAGCTAAAGGACATGGAGAATCCAAAGCACTGGGGGAAATTGCTTCTGGAAAAGGTGATCAGATTGCCAACTCAAAATTCAGGCACACAGATGGATGCTAGAAAGCATAGGCTACATTTAAGGAGCAGCAAGGTCTAGTCTAAATGGAGCCAGGGCAATGGTAGGAGGATGAAGGGCCACTGTGGGGCAAGTCTGGGCCAGACCACACAAGGCCCCGGTTTTGAGCAGAATAAGGAGTACACACTTGATCTGGAGACATTGGGGAACTCATGCAGACTTTTATGCGGGAGCGTGCCCGACCGTTCAGGTAGGAGTAGAACAGGGTCACCAGGTAAGGGAGAGGCCAGACTGCTTTAAGAGTTCAGAGCAGAAACAACAAGATTCTGAATGAGGACTGCACGTGGGGATGGAAACGTCCTTGGGAAATAGTCACAAGGAGAGATGAGTTTTACCACTTAAACTAGTAGCACAGATCCCATCTTCACTGGAATCATAAGAACCTTTCAATGTATCTAGAGGTGCCCATTAGTCAAATATTAAATAACCACTGTCCAAACAGGGATTAAAATGTCCACTGCTGAATAAAAGTGTGTCCAAAGGTCCCAAGGTGGATGAACAGAATAGAGGTCAAGTTGTCTTATGTTGAACAAATGTTTGAGGGGATGAAGACAAGCACACGAGTTCCTCTGAGTCATCACGGGGAAGGTCAGGAGGCTTTGCTAAATGAATGGAGACCAACAAAGCTGATCTCAAGGGCTGAAGTCAAAGGACTGACGAGCCCATCTTGGACATTCTGGGAGTGATAAAAGGCACAAAGCCCCCACAGCAAAGCCAGATGGGGAAGGCTGTCACAGTGGGTACCTGTCACCACATCAGCGGCACCTGCTCAGACCTGACCCTCCACTTCACTACTTCCCCAACTAATCCACAACCCTAGTGGTGCCTGGGCAGCTCAGTTGGTTAAGCACATGACTCTTGGTTTCAGCTCAGGTCATGATCTCACAGATTGTGAGACTGAGCTTCACGGGCTCCACGCTCAGTTGGGAGTCTGCTTGAGCAGACTCTCTCTCCCTCTCCTTATGCTCCTCCCCAGATTCATGCTTACTCTCATGCTCTCTCTCTAAAATAAACTAATCTTAAAAAATAAATAAATAAAGATACAACCACTTCAGAGATCACTCCTCAGCCCTCAACCCCTCTGGCCTCTCCACAGTATCTGACTAAAGATCCTAAAGATCATTACAAGCTTCTCACATCCATCAGGAGGCAAATGAACTAAGTTTTTAGGACAGGATAAGGGTTTTGGGGGTTTTAATAGGAAGAGTAAAGTCAAAAGTTATTTTTCAGGGCCAAAGAAAACCAGGTATTTTTTTTCAAATAAAACCTGCCAAACACACGTTGAAGCAAACAGACTGGAGTTTGAATCCCGACTCCACCTCTTACTATCTAGTGTGTGACCTTGAATAAGGGCTTGACCTTGCTGAATTTCCATTTCCTCATCTGTAGAGTGACAGCCCCACTCCCCTCCCGGGACTGCTAGTGAGAGGGACATGTGAGGAGTCCAGGGCAGGGCTGGGCTCACAAGGTCAGTCCCTTTTCCAAAAGCCAGGCTTCCTCCTACCTCTCAAGTCCCTGGGCTTGCTCACAACCTCTGCTCCCAAACCACCTCTTTTCCGCTCTTTTCTTCTGAATCTTCCACACTGGACATCTTTGAATAAGCCACCTTCATCTTACTCCTCGTCTGCATCTCCTCTTTCCAACACCCCACTAGGGACTATACTTTGCACTACAGATGTGATAAAATGCTTGAGAACATGGGTCAGGTTCTCAGACCCATGGATTCAAATCCTGGTTGGGCCTCCTATTAGCTGCATGATCTGCAGGGAGTCACTTAACTTCTCTGGTGATGATAACGTCACTCACCTCCCAAGATGGTAAAGTGTCCGTCACTTTTGCATAGTGGATGCTAGGCACAAGGCCAGGACCAGAAAGGGATCTGTAAATGCTAGCTAGTGTTACTACTGGTTCTCCTTACATGTGTCCAATGTCCTCTCCTTCTGCTATCCCCGCCACGGCCTGACCCCTATGCCTGCACGCCTAATGTCTGGGCGGCTTCCTGGCTGTTCTCCTGCCGCTGGCCTCTCCCTACTCAAATCAAACCTATATCCTGTTGTCAAATTCCACTTCCTCCCATTCCCCTTGGGCTCTAGTTCAAGAACCTGCTGAGGCCAATGACATTCAGTCCAAGCCCCCACCCACCCTTCCCCCAAACTCTACATCCTACCCCTTCCTAAAAACACACTTTCTACTCCAAGCAGCCAGGCTCCTTTAGTGTCACCTGAACCAATGAGCTTCATGCCACCCCTCACTTTCTTCCCAGCTGCCACACCCTCCCTGCTGCCCTGCACTTTTCCAAATCCCACTCCAGCCTACAACCTCCTGCTCAAGCTCCACATTCTCTCTGACCTCTCCTACCCTCTCCTCTCCTTTCTCTGAGCTTCTATGGTTCTCATCAGTGCCAAGGCAGCCATCATCCATGGGTCCTGAAGCAGCCCTAGGGACCCAGGCAGATGTGAAGGAAACATCTGGTAATCGAAGGAGTGCAGTCTCCAGCTGAAGACCATAATGGACACAGCGTAGCTAAATGGCATGCCTGGATCCCAGAATGTATTAGTAACACGGTGACAAGCTTGCAAAGAGCTCAAGTTTGAAATTATTCTTTTATTTATTTATTTAAAGATTTTATTTATTTATTCATGAGAGACAGAGAGAGAGAGAGAGAGAGAGAGAGGCAGAGACACAGGCAGAGGGAGAAGCAGGCTCCATGCAGGGAGCCTGATGTGGGACTTGATCCCGGGACTCCAGGATCATGCCCTGAGGTGAAGGCAGGCACTTAACCGCTGAGCCACCCAGGCGTCCCTGAAATTATTCTTTTAAGAGCCTAGGAGGGCAGCCCAGGTGGCTCAGCAGTTTAGCACCGCCATCAGTCCAGGGCGTGATCCTGGAGACCTGGGATACAGTCCCATGTCAGGCTCCCTGCGTGAAGCCTGCTTCTCCCTCTGCCTGTGTCTCTGTCTCTCTGTCTCTCTGTCTCTCTGTCTCTCTCTCTCATGTGTGTGTGTCTCTCATGGGTAAATAAAATCTTAAAAAAAAAAAAAAAAAGAGCCCAGGATGAGGGATGCCTGGGTGGCTTAGCGGTTGAGCATCTGCCTTGGCTCAGGGCATGATCCCAGGGGCCTGGGATTGAGTCCGACATTGGGCTCCCTGCAGGGAGCCTGCTTCTCCCTCTACCTGTGTATCTGCCTCTCTCTGTGGGTCTCTCATGAATATATGAAATCTAAAAAAAAACAGAAACAAAAAACAAAAAAGGGTCTAGGATGACTTTATACCATAGCTAGTTCCTAGTTACTAGCCAGTTTACTCATCATTGATTTGTTTCATAAGAATAATCACTCTTTAAAAATAGGATTATCTGGTTCTTGTAATTGCTGGAACTTCAAATATTTAGATGTTGGTTGCACAAAAGAAGGTGCCAAGGGGTGGTTTATACAGTCTTCAGTCCCCCTCCCTATAACCTCCATCGGTTTCCCAACCACTCCAAATAAACACAGAAGTAATCACTATGTTTATTACACAAATATAGCTCCAAGAATAGTCCTGTAAGCCTTTCCTATACCGAAATTCTGGAACTACCACTGCACACAAGGACATTAACAAGTGACAGTGTTGGGATACCTGGGTGGCTCAGCAGTTGAGAGTCCACCTTCAGCTCAAGGTGTGATCCTAGGGTCCTGGGATTGAGTCCCCATCGGGCTCCCTGCAGGGAGCCTGCTTCTCCCTCTGCCTGTCTCTCTGCCTCTCTCTGCGTCTCTCATGAATAAATAAAATTTTAAAATAAAATAAAAACTAAATAAAAAAACTTAAAGTGACAATGTCCTCATTGCCAGCAGCAGGAGGATGGGCTGTCCTCAGCTCCGTCCTGGATACCACCTTCTCCTCTTCCATACACACCACACTACTCCACTTTGGAGGGATGCTCCCACCCACTCCCCATGAGGTCCAGCATCTTACCACTGTCCCGAAGGGTCTGGGTCAAGTCTTCCACCAGGGCTACAGCCTCCTCACTGCTTTCGGGACGATGCTCCTGCAGCCAGGCCTGAATTTCCCTTGGTAGCACAGTCAGCATCTGTTCCTTAGTGTGCACTTCGGGCCTCAGCCAGCGCCGACAGAGCTCTCGAAGGCGGCCAAGGGCACCCTGCGGCCCTCCAGCTGCCTCCCCATGGGGGCTACCCTTGCCAGCACTCTGGGGAAAGGGGTCCGACTCAGGGCCATCCTCCTGCAGTACAGCTTCCTGCACCCAAGAATCATCCTCCAGGATCATGGTGGTGACCTCCTCCTGTTCGACTTCCTCCTGAGGCACTTGGACCATGGGGCTCAGGGGTGTGGTTACTCTAGGCCCCTCTGCAGCCATCATTCACCTTCCTGGGGCAACCACCCAGGCTTCTAGCCTTGAACTTCAGTCTTCTAGGCCAGACTCACTGAGAAGACACCTCTCTCCTCTCTCCTCAAATGTCAACAAGTAACGTGACTGGGAAATAAGAAAGAGAACCACATCAATAAGCAGACTGCGGGGGGGGGGGGGGGGGTGGGGGGTGGTGGAACAGACTGCCCCACAATGATCTAACTCACAGCAGGCCAGGTCAGGCCACTAAGTGATTCTTACATCTGCAAATCAACAGAAGTTTCCTGTCCCTCTTAAAGGAAAAATGGCTTATTCCTGAAAACCTCTTTCTATTAAAAGAAGTTAAGAAGAATTACAAGCACAAAAAATACAGCACTTTTCTTCCCAAAAGAATGGTATCAGAAATTCAAAGCCCTCCTAAGAACCCAAGACTGAGTTATTCTGTCCTAAATCAGTTCAGACTTGCTGTAGAATGAGTGACCTTGATCTGACACACAACTCAGTCCCTTAGACTCAGTGACCATCTAATAGGTACAGATAATAACACCTATCCTTCTTATCTTATGGGGATATCTTCAGGATTAGCAAGGATCAGATGTCAAGATACTTTGAGCCTCACTGGAAGGAAGGCAGTATCTAAACTGCATACTTACCACATGAATATGAAGTTTTAAAATATTCACATTCTTCAATGCAGCCTTGGCCCCTTCAGGAATTTATCTTTAAAAATAACCATCTTTGTGGCACCTGGGTGGCTCAGTGGTTGAGTGTCTGCCTTTGGCTCAGGTCATGATCTCAGGGTCCTGGGATCGAGTCCCACATCAGGCTCCCTGCCTCAGGCTCTTTGCACGGAGCCTGCTGCTTCTCCCTCTGCCAATGTCTCTGCCTCTCTATGTCTTTCATGAATAAACAAAATCTTAAAAAAAAAAATAACCATCTTTGTAAAGGAAAACTTATTTGCAAAGAAACGAAACCATAGCATTGTTTCCAATTGCAAAAAAAAAAAAATAAAAAAATAAAAAAATTGGCATTTAAAAAATCCAGCAGCAGAGGAATGAATGGTTAATGAATGATGGCACATCCATACAGTAAAATGTATTTAAAACCATGCTGATTTTTGGGACACCTGGGTGGCTCAGTGATTGTCTGCCTTTGGCTCAGGGTGCGATCCTGAGTCTAGGGATCAAATCCCATATCGGGCTCCCTATGAGAACCCTGCTTCTCCCTCTATGTCTCTGCCTCTCTCTTTGTCTCTCATGAATAAATAAATAAAAATCTTTAAGAAAAAAACTATGCTGATTTAATAATGGCTACTTCTGGGTGCCGGATACTGACTGAGTAGGGCTCAAAGAAGCCTTTGGGGTGCTAGAAATGTTCTATATCTTGATTTGATGATGGCTGAACAAAGCATACCTATGAAATTTAACATCTATGCATTCTGCCACATGTAGTTTCAAATATTTTTTAAAATTATCCTGACAAGCATTGTTAACCATTAATAATCTGAGATAATCTTTATAACCACGGAAATTATGGAGAAAAACAAAGGCCAAACAGAAACACCAGGCACAGTATGATCCCAAATCCGTTTAAAAATTTACACACAAGGAAAAACAAAACTTGGATGTGAATTCTACAAAATGTTGGCAGCCTTTAATCTACTATTTAAAATCAAGACTATAGGGACGCTTTGGTGGCTCAATAGTTGAGCGTCTGCCTTTGGCTCAGATTGTGATCTCAGGGTACTGGGATCGAGTCCCACTTCACGCTCCCCACAAGGAGCCTGCTTCTCCCTCTGCCTATGTCTCTGCCTCTCATGAATAAATAAATAAAATCTTTTTCAAAAAATAAAATCAAGACTATAAAAGCAATGAAAATTTATTTTTAAAAAATCACTACCATATCCTAAAGACTCAGATAACCCCCCCCCTTTAATAAATGGGGGGTGAGGGGGAGAGGCAGGAAAGGGAAAATAAAAAGAAGCAAAGCTAGTGGGAACACGGAAGCTCTCCTGTCTATTTACCAAAGGGCCAGAAGATGCCCAGGTAGGGGAGGCCCTGAGGCGAGCCCCGGAAATTTGCTCGCGCTCCGCTCATTCGCTGACCTGGGGCAAGACACGCCCCCTCGGGAGCTCAGTTTCCCCATCTGTAAAACGAAGAGCTGCGCGGGACGCCTTCCAGCGAGCTACCAGTCCCCACCCCGCAGCCCCGGCTGGGGGCGCAGGGAGCTCACCGCCCGAAAGCAGCGTCTGAGCGCGTTCCCCGAGCGGACCCGGCGCGTCAAGCAGGGGGCCCCGGCCGGCGGGCGCGGACAGCTCCCCTGACGCCCCTCCCCCAGCAGGGCTGCCCGCACTGGCTCCAGGCCCGTTAGTCTCTGGCCGCGGGCTACTCCCAACCCCCGGCCCGCGCCGCTCCAGGCCCGAGTCTCCAGGCTCACCTTTCGGGACACCCGGTCGGGCTTCCACTGCCACTCCGCGCGCAAAAGCGCCCCTGGGCACGGCCCGGCCCCTCCGGATCACCGCGGCTCAAGCCCGAGGGGCACCGAGAACAATGGACGGGAGAAGCCCGCCCCCCGCCGCGCTCATTGGCCGCAGAGAACGCCCCCTGGAAATCCTGCTCTCCTATTGGTGAATCCGGCCCCCAGCCCGGCGCGGGGCGGGGGAGGCCGGACCGAGGGGATCCTGGGAGTTGTAGTCCAAAGCGGTGGCCCGGCCCGCGGGCTGGAAGCCGGGCTGGGAGCTGAGAGCCCCTGCGGTGCGGCAGCGCGGGCAGCGGGGAAATCCATTGACTGACCCTTAGGACCCCAGCGATGGCTGCAGCTATGACCTGGTACGGGTCATTTCACTTCCCTGAGGCCTCCGTGTATTTGCCTACGGAAAGTGAAAGTTGAGTGGAGGGGCTCCCACCCCGCTACACGAGCCCGGCAAGCCCCTCCATACCCCCCCCCGCCCCCAGCCTGCAGGTCCTCGCTTGCCCCTGTCCCTGGCACACCCCTTTGTTTCCTCACGTGGTGTTCCTGCTGCTGGAGGCGGTCCTGCTGCTGGAGACGAGCCCAGTCTCGCCTCTTCTGTCTCGAAAGAACTCCCATTCTTTCGTCCCCCTGGTCTTCTCGGAGCCTGCCCCATGCGCGCCTCCCTGGGCGCGGACGCCGCTCCCAGCACACCTGTTCCACGTCTCCGGGTGAGTCCTGGTTCCCAGTACCGGGAGGCGAGAGTGGGAGACCCGCCTCTGTCCTTCCTGAGGCTGAAGCAGCTGCCCCAACCCTGTCTGACAACAGGTGAGAACCCCTCTGGAAACCTAAGGGAAAGATCTGAGGATGAAGAGAAACATGCTCTTGGTGGTCTGAGATAGAAAAACTGTGAATGTTCAATGCACAGCAATCATCGGAGGCGCGCAAACGACTGTATTTGTTGTTTTAATTTTTAATTTATATTACATTTCATATTCATGAAAATTTTATGAGTATCTGAGAAATGGGTGATTTTAATCTCCTTTTCTGTGAACTGATTGTTCGTATCTTCCTATGTCTTTGTTGGTTGGTTGGTTTTCTTTTGGTCCAGTATGGTTTACATACGGTGTTACGTTTGAGGTGTACAATATAGTGATTAACACTTCCATACCACACCCAGTGCTCATCAGCGACTTCGCCCACTTCCTACTCACCTCCCCCCTGATAACCGCAGTTGGTTCTCTCTAGCTAAGAGTCTGCTTTTGATTTGTCTTTTCTTCTTTGTTTTGTTTCTTAAACTCCACGTTTAAGTAAGATCATATGGTATTTGCTTTTCTCTGATGGACTTACTTCGATTAGCATAATACCCCCTGGCTCCATCCATGTTGTTGCAGATGACAAGATTTCATTCTTATACTTCTTTTCATGTTTTTTTTTTAAGAATTTATTTATTTGTTCATGAGATACAGAGAAAGAGGCAGAGACACAGGCAGAGGGAGAAGCAGGCTCCATGTAGGGAGCCCGATACAGGACTCGATCCCAGGACCCCAGGATCACGCCCTGAGCCAAAGGCAGATGCTCAACCGCTGAGCCACCCATGCGTTCCTCTTTTCATGGTTTTTTTTTTTTAAGATTTTATTTATTTATTCATGAGAGACAGAGAAAGAGAGAGGCAGAGACACAGGCAGAGGAAGAAGCAGGCTCCATGCAGAGACCCCTATGTGGGACTTGATCCCGGGACTCCAGGATCACGCCCTAGGCTGAAGGCAGGCACTAAACTGCTGAACCACCCAGGCGTCCCTCCTTTCATGTTTTTTTTTTAAATAATAAATTTATTTTTTATTGGTGTTCAATTTGCCAACATACAGAATAACACCCAGTGCTCAACCCGTCAAGTGCCCCCCTCAGTGCTCGTCACCCGTTCACCCCCACCCCCCACCCTCCTCCCCTTCCACCACCCCCGTTCGTTTCCCAGAGTTAGGAGTCTTCATGTTCTGTCTCCCTTTCTGATATTTCCTACCCATTTCTTCTCCCTTCCCTTCTATTCCCTTTCACTATTATTTATATTCCCCAAATGAATGAGACCATATAATGTTTGTCCTTCTCCTATTGACTTATTTCACTCAGCATAATACCCTCCTCTTTTCATGTTTTAATCAAAGTTATTTGCAAGAGTTCTTAGTGTATTAAGAAAATGGGGGGGAGTGGTGCCTGGGTGGCTCAGCGATTGAGTGCCTGCCTTCTGCTCAGGTCCTGGTCTCGAGATCCCAGGATTGTGTCCCGCATCCAGCTCCCTGCATGGAGCCTGCTTCTCCCTCTGCCTGTGTCTCTGCCTCTCTCTCTCTCTGTGTCTCTCATGAATAAATAAATAAATAATTTTTTTTAAGAAAGAAAATGGTTTCTTTGTCACGGAAGTTGCTATTTCTCAGTTTGCTGGGTTTTCTTTTTCTGTTTTTTTTTTTTTTTTAGCACAAATGTTTATGTTGTCTGTCTTGTCTTTTTATAGCTTCTGAGTTTTGTGTCATTCTTAGAAACTTCTCTGCACCACTCCAAAGATTATTTGAGTTTCACTTGTTTTTCACTAATGAATCCCTTTAATCAGTCCAAGTGTAAAGATGCAAGGTGAGCTTCAGCTGTGGAGTATTACCTCCTCAGCAGCATACTAATTTATTAGCCTAAAGTGACCACATGCAAATAGCACCACCTCCAGGCCAGCTTGAGAAGTTGGCACTACCTGCCTGGATGCAGAACTCCTAGTGGCCACTCCCCTGGACAGCGGTCCTAGAGAGCCAGATACGCAAAACATTGAGGATGATAATTCTCAGGGATGATCTCATATTACAAAGATTGGTCTTTCCACATTTCCATCCTCACTAGAAATGGGAATGTACACAAATGGGAAAAGGTTTGTTTGGGAGTGGGGGGCTGAGGGGTTCACTGCTGAAACTGTCTAGCAGCCAAAGAATGCATTTACCTCTGCTCCTATCACAAGCCAACCCTTGACCACAAGAAACTGGCACAGTCTTGTCACAAGAGAATCCTGGAATCCGCCATCTCTTCTCTGTGCCTGAGTTGATCCTAGCCAAGGTCAACTGTCCCAGGTTTTTTTTTTTTTTTTAATTTTTTTTATTTTTTAAATTTTTTTATTTATTTATGATACAGAGAGAGAGAGAGGCAGAGACATAGGCAGAGGGAGAAGCAGGCTCCATTCACCGGGAGCCCGATGTGGGATTCGATCCTGGGTCTCCAGGATCGCGCCCTGGACCAAAGGCAGGCGCCAAACCGCTGCGCCACCCAGGGATCCCTGTCCCAGGTTTAGATAGAAAGCAATTCACATTTGGGGCCCCTGGATGGCTCAGTTGGTTAAGCATCTGCCTTCAGCTCAGGTCATGTTCTCAGGTTCCTGGGATCAAGTCCCATGTTAGGCTCACTGTTCCTCGGGAAGTCTGCTTCTCCCTGTCGCTCTGCCTACTTGTATAAGCACATGCTCTCTCTCTCTCTTTCTCTGTCTCTCTGTCAGATAAATAAATAAATAAAATCTTAAAAAAAGAAAACAAAACAGGCAGCCTGGGTGGCTCAGCAGTTTAGCACCGGGCATGATCCTGGAGTACCAAGATCAAGTCCCTCATTGGGCTTCCTGCATGGAGCCTGCTTCTCCCTCTGCCTATGTCCCTGCCTCTCTCTCTTTTTGTGTCTCTCATGAGTAAACAAATAAAATCTTTAAAAAAAAACAACTTCTGAGAACTAGTCTGGCTAAGTAAAAGGGATTTATTGAAAGAATGTTAGGGAACTCACAGTGTAAATGGGAAAGAATCAGGCTTAATGAAGAACAGTTGAGAACCAAGAAACCGGATAAGTTAGGCCCCAAGAATCACAACAATCTCTTAGCAGAAACAGGCTAGTGTGACCACTCTGTGTCCCCTTGTGACCCTACAGCCACCTCTGTTAGCCTGCCTTCCTTTCAATGTTCTAAGACCAGGGAAAGCACATGTGGTTGGCTGAGTCTGTCCCATGCCCACTCCCTGAGCCCACCAGGGTGAGAGGGAATTGGATCTGGCTCTGAGTTTTCCTTATGAATACCCTACACAAAGGCAGGTTCTCCTCTTCAGAGACTGAAGGGTTACTAGGAGAAACTGAACAGCAAAAGGTACCGGTGTCACTACTTATTTTTAGATGCTGAGCAAGAAGAGACCTTGCCCCAGGGAATGCTCAGTCTAAGGCTTTTGGGGAGCTCCCAGGTCAACTAGAATTGATGAGATGATAAGGCTGGAGATGGGCAGAATGTGCTTTTCATAATAATACTTGGTCAGGATCGGGGCCAGTGACCTCTGAGCAGGCTCAGGCATAGAGGCAGAGGGGACTTCAGGCCCTGATGATGCAGAAAGACCCTCACCACTGCTTAATCTACCCTATGTCATGGATGTCGAGGAATGTGAGTGTCTTTGTATGAAGCATGGGCATTGCATTTTTGCTAATTATGCCACAGAAGCAGGACCACTAAATGGGATTGGGAAAAGATTATTAAATGAACAGTGTTGTAGGATGCTATAAGACCGACCTAAAAGGAAGAAAAAAAAATACCAAAAATTCTTCATAGTAGGAATGCCAAGGGGGGAAGAGAAACCAGGGAATGAGATCAGGGAAGCATTTATTTTCAAGTGGGAGGGGTAAAATTCAGTCCAAGAAGTATCACTGAACAATTGTCAAGTATCACATGACACGTGCCCATGTAAAAAGAAGAGCTAGAGCAGGATTTTTTTTCCCTTTTAGAATGGACATTATCACCCCTCCCAAGGCCTACCTGTATTTTTCCTTTTTTTTTTTTTTTTTTTTTTTTTTTTTTTTTTACGAATAGTTTGTAGTTAGGGTGTGTGTGGTAGTGGCAGTAGGGTTTGGTCCTTGTCTTTCTCTTCCTGGGATGCTGATTTTTTTTCTTTCTGAGTTGTTCTGTGCTGGCCTGGGTTTCTCTAGCTCTTGTGCTAAGAATGAAGAGAATGGCTTTAGAGTCTCCAGCCAGTTCCCATGCCCTGTTCTGAACTGTTCTAGTCAAGAACATTTCTCAGAAGACACAAGGGTGCTCTCGGCTGAACA